ATTCAAACGCCATCGAGTTATCTACTTAGCTACTGAGCCTTGATAACCATCTGTTTGTGCAATGGGGTGAAGTTTAAATTCACTTGGTGTTGTTTTAATTGTATCTTCCCATTGTTATTTAGAACTGTAATCGATCAGTCTCTTGTTGGCAATATGTGCATCCTGTGCGGACTGTCTCGATATAGCCTTAAGCCACAAGCTTTTTAAGCTTCCACTGCTAGCTATTATCCATGTTTGCTTAAAAGGCTTATGACTTATTATTATTATCCTTATGATGAAATAAGAAAACAGAAAGAAAGATAATTTTTTTTAAAAAAAGAAGAAACAAAATAGTGGATAAGGTAAAAGAAAACATAAACGGACAACAATATTTGATGATGATATCATCTGGTGTGAAGATTATGTCAAATAGTGTTGTATCCATTCATCAGTAAAATTCAAGATAGAGTAATGCTGATAAATTATTAAACCAGTATAAGTCTGTATAGAAATTATATTTTATCATTATTCTGATAATAATAATAATAAATTATATTGACAAAAGTCACATGGTTAAATAAATTGAATTTAAGAAAAAAGAAACGGGTGAACAGAAATAGGATAATAATAATAATAATATTACTATATCGCCATCCGGAAAAAAATCTGTGTAACGATTAGTTACCATAATTCTATATGGTGATCTATGTGTTAGAGTTCAAGTTATATACAAGGGGAATTGTGATATCAATAATGTGAATTGTTTGGAAGCAGTTGTTAACAAATAATGTTTCGAGCTAAATGATACTTATCAAGAAAATATACCTACAATTGTAAGGGCATTGGTGCTTTTTGTAGAATTAGAATCTATATCATCAAGAAATTATACATAGATGTACTATCAAGGAGCTACTTGGATTATGATAGATCTCTTGTAGAACTGACGCAAATCGCCTTTCCTGACCGTTGTTGCTACCTTGACGTGGTGGTCGGGCTTGCCTATGGTGATGACCCAATCGAGCTATACTGGCTGGAACAACCGTTCCTCAAGGTCCTACCATGTCAGACAGGTCGGTTGAAGAGCGGTAAGACTAAAAGCAACAAAGCTAAGATCCGAAGGCGAAGTCGTACTGCTGACTGTACAGAGGTGTGATAGCAGTAAGGTGTTTCCTTCAGACAACCAGCATGAAAGCGATGCTGCCTTTCCACAAGGAGGGGTGGGGTTAAAGAAGGTCAACCCTAAAAATGCACACTTCGCCTTATCCCACGGATATCCGTCTCCGGCGATAAGGTCTCAACAAGTACGGCGCTCGCACGAAAATTACTGACAAAAAGGTCATGGGTGATCGACATCAAGCAGCTGTCCCTTGGGCACTGCAGTCACGCTCTCAGGTCACTAAGACCACCTCTAACCCAATTTCCTTTACAGGTACCTCCAGAAGAACCCTTCCACGGTGTGGGCAACCGGGTAGTGATAACCGCCCTCATACCTCTAACAGCACTCTAGCACCACTCAAGATAAGAAATGATAGATTTACTGAGTGATCATTGGACAGTAACCAATATCATGTTTGTCTAGTCCTTAACAATGATTGGATGCTAGCAATGATGTTTGGAATGTGACCAATTGGTTAAATAAATCTACATTTCATGTACCATGTTTAAATTTTAGGTGGTTGAAGGCTATCAGCATCAAAAACTCCTCTAGTCCCGAAAAGAAGATGAAATATCCTTTCTGCTTTTTACTAGGTAGCATCACGAATAACAATAATAATGGTGGCGTTCTTTCCAAAACTTAAATTTTTCAATAACCAACTGTTTATTTCCAGTGTTGTTTACTTAAAGATGTTTCAAACTTGAAAATATTGGCAGACAAATTATTAAAATGAATGTAAACATAATAATTCAGATGGAACTTATGTAAATCAAGCATTAAATTTGTTATGACTCGTATCTAGCTATGCCAATAGAAATATCAACGTAAACGGTAAACACAATTCAAAATACTTTTCAACTGAACTGATACTAAGCTTTCAATAACCTTTCATTCAACACTCTAACTGATGATCATATGTAGACAAGAAAAATGCGAACATTTAGAGAATTCTCTTCAACGTGTGTTTGAGGATCAGACACTAAGAATGTGAGTTTCATGGTGCTTGATTCAACAGTGTAAATTCGAAATGGCGACAGTTAGAAATCTGTTTATCGACTCAAATTTAAGAATGAATGAATTACCAGGTAGCATTATTTTTTGATAAAGTATCTGTTGGGTCGGCTTCCGGAGAATTTCAACGGAGCCTCCAGAGGCCCAAAAAGGAGCCGAAGGGCTCCAGCCAATCAGAGTATGATAGAACGTTCGAGAATTCCAGCGTGGCGTGCTACCATTGGTCGGTAGCATAATATGACGTTAACGGATTGGCTGAAATATGATGTTGATTTAGCAGACGCCAACATCTATAAATACCCTTGATTTTCTGTACTAAAATGAACCTTGGGATAAAGTGTTTTCTCTCATACTTGTGTCTTCTCTCTGGAGTTCAAGTCGCTGTGTAGTTCTAGTCTGCGGGTTACGGGAATAGCTTAGGATTCGTATATAGCGTTCAACCTACACGACTTATCAGTATCTACAGTACAATGCATAAAACGTTGAGCAAACTAAACCAAAAAAAAAAACGAAGCAAAAGTTTTCAGTTATGCCATCGCCTACGATAACTCCTAATTATGAACGACTGATCTCCTAATACAAAGCTAAGTCTACGTAAACTTGACAGATTTTTTTATTTATTTTAATACATTGGTACAAGGAGGCACTAAATATATGTGCGCCATATCCCGCCATTTGATTTGTGTGAGGGCTGAAATACTGTCTGGACACTGAAACCAAAGTAGGTGTTCTTCTTGGAGGGCCACTCCCAGAGCCTTCGACCTAACAGTCTAATCTACAAGACAGTGGAGTGGCGTTACGAGATGTAGTCCCATGATAGATGGTGACCAGTAATAGCTTCATACGCCTTTTGTTTCTCAGGATTGTGGAGCCCATGTGCACGATTGGTTTGGAATCAGGGTTTTTCAAATCCACTAGATGGATCCTCCCTATCCACCAAGTCAGTTAAAGCACGGGACATTCACTTCTCGTCCTCTCAATTTCGTAAAAATACCCTCACCGCGATAGATCAGATAATTGACACGCAGATATTGAAACAATAATCTCTTGACTACTGGAGAGACAAGACGGGCAATCAAGAGAAGCTTAATATTCAAAGAAAACAAATTTGTAGTTGAGCAACTATGTATACATATAAAAAGACATAATATTGAAACAAATAACAAACTTAGTGAACTAAAAGTGAGCGTAACCAATCAAATGACAGCAAGGTCTACTATGAAAATGTGAATTGAAGGGGGAAAAAGTTATCACAATTATCTTGACATGTAAGAAACACAATTTATTGACAAGACACATTAGATAACCGAAACATTTTCCTGGTGTATAATAATTTACTACAATTTATAACTATGAATAGATAGACAGTCAATATTAAGATACATCCGGGGGCTAAACGATGTTTTTTCTATTGTATATCATTAAAATAATCGAGAATGGAATCTCTCCCCTTAAAAAAAATCATTCTGGTAAACTAAAGAATTCGAGAATTTTAGTGTGGTGGTTAGTGTAGCTTAGATTAGCAATTAGAAACCATATAACATTAACTGAATTCCGATCATTGGTCGGAATAAATATATATGTGACGTGAACGTGTATGTGAATGATGAGAATGGTCCACCAGGGTGCTCGGTACCTGTGTGATTGCGCCACAGAATTTAGATGTAATATTCAGATTGTAGCGTTGAGGCCTATACGGTGTCTGGTTCTCCTGTGAAGCAGGATTGAGGTGTACTGCTCGGGTTATAAAATTTAAGCCTGGGTGGTATCTGGCTCTGTTGTTAAACGGGATTGAGCTGTACCGTTTGGGTTGCCACGTGAAAGTCTGGATAGTGTCTGGTTCTCCTGGAAACCAATGTAAAATTACCCTGGCCCACAAGGGTATGCTATATAACTGTTATATAACTAACTGAATTCAAGTTAGATATTCTAAAGTAAGCATTTGTTGTGTGTAACATAAATTTAAGTCACTTTATTTTATTCCCTGTATTATCGACAGATTAGCTTAGAAATTGTTTCACACTTTATATAATCTATTTCGTTTGAAAATTAAATTAACTTATTATCCAGGTACTTGGATATGAGCGACACTCTAAACATAAGAACTAATGATACTGTTTAGCGAGAAGGGACTTGAACCGGATACTTGGTAGGTGAAAGTCGTATGCCTTAATCACTAAGCAACCGTTTCATTCCGTAGAACCTTTCTTTAATTTATTAAAAACAATGTAATTTCTCAAATTCAAATGGTTCATGTACTCGATTTTGGATTGTAATTTTTTGTGAAAGCTAATTAGATTATTCGCTACTCAAAACTAAGTAAGTAGTATGCGTGTTCTTGAACCAGTAACCTATGAATTAGAAATTAAAATATTTTAACTACTAAGTCAATTAATTAATCCATAAATTAAAAACAAACAAAGAAATCAACATATGGGATCGGCAAAATCAAACAACTAAACATTACCTCAATTATATTTGAATTAACATATTCTTTTAAAGCTTTTTCAATTACTTCAATATCTGCACCATCACATCCACTTAAAGCAGCTAATGCTTCAGCAGCTTCATGACGAATAAGTGTAACATGTTTATCATTATGTAAAGCTTGTAAAAGATGTGGTACAGCTTTTGGATCACCGCGTTGTCCTAGACAATAAGCAGCTTCATGTTGTAAAAGATCATTAGCGATAGGTGATGGCTTAACATAATCACAAATAAAATCAGCTAACAATTCAAGTGCTAATGGTTCAGCAGCATGACGTAATCCCCAAAGAGCACGTGAACGATCAACTAGAGAAGCGGATGGATTTAATAAACATTTTCCCCATTCACGTAATTCTGTTTCGGAAACTGGTTTTGGAGTCATAATAATGGCTTGAAGTTATTTAGTAGGGCAATGAATCAAGAAGAAAATAACAATATTGGTTAAATGATTTTAAGGGTAAAATTTTACAGTAAATCAATCTCATTAATATAATTTATTAAGAGGAATGTATTTCATTCTCACTACTGTCATAACATTAATCATAAATAAATGGTTTAATGGAGAACTGGTATCAACAATGTTAAACCAAGAATACCTAGACAAACTTTACGTTTCAGTTCCTATGCATGAGATCAAACCTGTTACTGAAAAGTCCCGTAGAGCAAAAGATATATGTACAGATCAACTGAGTTATATCACCAAAGCTCATGTTTTGATTTAGGTCAATCTTCAAAACAGATCAAGTGATAATAAGTTAATATTTTCGCCGATTACTTAACTGGTTTCAGTAGTAGTAACGTAATCATTTGAGAAATCGTAATTGAAAAGTATACACAATCATGGCTTTATTTCAGAAATCAACTTGCATATTCATACTTTCAAATATCAATTTAGACACACTGATACTAGGACTTAATGCCTTTTGTTTTAAACATCAATATGGTGGTGTACTTTACCCATGTTAGGAGTGAAACGAATATTACCATGGATAATCATTGAGTTGAATAACTGAAGTCAAAAAATGCGGGATTCAAGAATTTCAATGAGTTGTATTAATTTAACATGATCACTATAAGACCCGAGGATTGCGAACTCAATTCAATGTACGGTGCACAAACAGCTGTTAAATCCATTCAGTTTGAATGCTATTTCAACTTATACTAACATGCAACTAAGATCAATTGATTGAATATAAATAACATGTGACATTGTCCTCAGTTACAAGCACTCTAACAATATCTTCTTTGTAAGTCGTATATCATTAAAGGAAATTTAATGTTATGATGAACAGTACAACAGACATTATAAATAGAAATTTACACTTTTTCAATTGTTAACGTTGAGGTTTGAAAATAACACTCTCTTTTGATTATATCTGCATCCTGAGCAAATCGCCTGACTTTTCTCATTAAGTCACAAGTATTCTAATAAAGTTGGATAGTGGCTAGAATTAGAAACCAGAACGCATGTTTTATGCTCGTCGAGACTCATGTCAGCCGAATATACCTACATCTAAGTATAAGCGTCAACTTTACCTAAAGCCCTATTACGGTTCCTGTAAGTTTTAAGACCGAGTAAAGGAGAAAGTTTGGGCATCGGGTTAGCAACCTCATCCCGTAAAAATAACAACCTTGCTAACAAGAAGGAAAATCAAATGAGACTACATACATTGAGAATGAAACATCATGATTCTTAAAGTTCATTATCAGCCACTATTCAACTTCAATGAAAATATAATAAACAATTAAAAAATATATATATGATACAACTGACAAATATCTACTGAATGTAAAAACGTAGTTTCTTTACAAAAACAATATACATTTTGTACTATTTTTCGTAATCTTCCCACTACTAGATTCAAGTCCCGAAATGAACATCAAATTTGGGATACATGCACATTCAACTGACGAATCCTAAATAGGACGAAACGTGCTTCCTGGATTCTTCTGCTAGCCATCATCTATCTTTCTTAGTAAAAACAATATAGTTTAAATAAACAATACATACACAAAAATATGAGCACAGATCAACTTTTTGAATCCACATACACAATATTTTACATTTTGTATAAACGCATTCAATGAGAACTTATAACATATTTATTGAGTAGTATATATATATATATTTGGTATATTTGACATGATACAACTATTTATTTATTTCTGTCAATACACAAATACTTTTTTGTAAAATAATGTAACCAAACAAAATAAAGGATATAACACTGTTGAATATAGTTCTTTCAAATCAAGATAGTTTAAAAGAAGGTCGACTAGAAAATGGATTGGTCCTTTATTATTGTTATCATCATTTGTTGAATATATATGATTGAAGAATCCGATTGTATACACGTTTCTATATGAATTAATGTTTTATCTAAGAAGATTATTATTGTTATTATATGAATAATCTAATATGTCAACTATACAATTTTCTACAACGTAACAATGAATGAACAACTCCCTTAAAACACACACACACAAAAAAAAGGAATTATTATTGCACACATAAAAGAAAACCATTTTCTGGAGGGTCGGCGGTGGAAATAAATCACAACGAAAATAGAAGAGAAAATAAAACTAGATAAAATAATATTGAACAGAATAATCTCTGTATATTAGATAGAGTTACCAGTGGTTGATAGATGAGTACCTCCCATTACATGGTAGATAATAAATGCCTTTTCTTGGTTCGTTATTTGTTTAAATAAAATGCGCCAAAAAAAACACACACACAATAATTGCACAAATGAACAACAACAAAAAATCGATAATGTTTTACAAATTATTCACTAAGTATATCGTTAAAACAGAAGAGGGAGGGGGGAGGGAAATAAAAAATAAATTTTCTATGAAAGATAAATATATTAAAGAAATTTTTTTCTACTATTTAAAGAAAATATATTCTGTTTCTATTGCACTAATAGTTTCTATGTTCAATGTTTATACATAAATCTCGTCCATTTTTTTCTATTCAATATTGAATACATCGTTTTGATTAGATCAAATTGATGAATTGAAAAGATGAATATAATAGAAATAATGAATAATTTTACAAATAATGAATTCAATCAATAATAAACAAAAACAAGAAAAGTAAACAATCATTGATTATTTCACTTTTATTTGTCTACAAGAAAAATAAACGAGAACACACTACCACCACCACTAAGGATTCATTGGCAAAAGTAATCTACACACACACACAAAAAAAAGGGAACAACATCTGAAAAATGACTCATGGGATAGTATTGTTACCATGGTTATTTGATCATTAAATGTTTTCTTTTTTTATACGAATGTGTTAAGTATATACATTCGATAGAAATGCACATACTCTACTGGTATACTTTGTGATTAGTAGTATAATAAACAAAACAAAAAAAAACTACATGAATAAATCAATAATGACAATTCAAATCAAAACTCATAAAATTCTAGAAACAATCTTGTTTCTCTATCTAAGTAGAAATTAATTTATATTACAAGAAGATCATTACATATACATAATTAAAAGTTCAGAAAGGAGTGTTTTTCTTTGTATAGGTTATTAGATATATAGAGGATAGAAACACTCTACCATGCTTCAAAATGAATACTAGAAATAATAACACTGACCATTATTATTATTATTATTACTAACAATAATACTGATACTAATACTAAACGAAGAAGAAGAAGAAGAAGAACTAAATACTTGAGCAAACATGTTTAAAACAATGGAAAATAAAATAATCAAACTATTCATTGAATCTATCACATTGGAATTGATCGATGCTTTGTTATTTTCATTTCTAATTGTTGTAAAATAGTAGTAACCGATTGAGAAATACGAACGTCAAGATTCTCAATTTGTCTGTAAATAAAATAAACGAAAATTGTTACAATTATTTAAATGAAATGTATTGGAGAAAAGTAAAACTAATTTATTTTGTAAAAAGTGAATGTCCGACGATTTAATCGGGTTGATGGATAAATGTCCTGGTACGGTTGAGGATGAGGAGAGTTCGCTATCCCTCTCCAAATGCCAACGCTTATACAGCCCTGACAGGGAAATCCTACTCACAGACTTCTCGCGGAGGGGATGTTTATACAAAATTGAGAGTACGAAAAGCGAACCTCCGACGCTTTAACCGGGTTGGAGGATCCTCTTAGGCAAGTTGGAAAACCCTGATTATAAACCAATCGTGCATATGGGCACCACAATCCTAAGAAACAAAAGGCATATGAAGCTATTGATGGTCACCGTCTACCAAGGGAATGCATCTCCTAACTTTGCTTCATTATCTTGTGGACTAGACGTCTATGTCAAAGGCTCAGGGAGTGGCCATCTAAGAAAAGCACCTAATTTGGTTTCAGTGTCCAGACAGTATCTCAGTCCCCACACAAATCAAATGGCGAAATTTGGCGCATTTGAATAGAGTACCTCCTTGTACCAATGTTTATGTGTTGAAATAAATCAATAAATAATATAAAACTAATTTATAGGTTTCTTTCCAAAAATAAGCAAACGAGTCAACCTAAATAAATAAACAAATAAATACTTTTCAATATAGGGCTGGTGAGAGACAGTTCACTATGGAAGATAAAGATAATTAAAAAAGAACAATGTTAACAACTGGATGAAAACTCAGTGGTTCGAAGTTTAGGTGCCTTCTGTCAGACGTTAAGATGATTTATTTTATTCATGGTGGACTTGTGAATGTACACTATTCGGTCAGTCAGTCATCTACAACGTAGGACCTGGCACATAAATACATCGGTCATACCTAATTAGCATAAAAAGGATGAACACCAAATTCACAAAAGCAGTTACTTCGATGGTAATATATATTGCACATAAGGATATGAAACATGGAAGAAATAATTACTTCGTAGAAAGAAAATCATAAAGTAATTTAAATTTCATAGTTTAAGGGAAGACAAAGAGTGCATACACATACGACATTGTGATCACTTCTGAGGCATGTCACACACAGTCTCCAACCACTGGTTACAACAGTCGCGCGAACCTCAACCAAGTAGTCTGCATGGCTCAAACCAGAAGTTAGTGATATTATGGACTGATGCCATGTCTTGAATTGACCGCCATCTATCTCAGTCGATGAAGATTTAAAACCTCATCAACAGATTTACCATCATTCCATAATACCCTGCGTCTAACCTCACTATTACTTACCCGGTGATCCAAGCAGATACGAGTAATATTTCTAAGACATATGTGATCAAATACTAGTAACTTATGAGTATTCTCTACCCTTACTGACCATGTTTCGCAGCCGTAAAGTAAAACAGAACAAACTGCTGCGCAGTATATTTGTACTTTAATTGATAGAGGAATATCTCACTGCAATAGGCGATGTAATTTGAAAAATACGTACTATTAGGACGAAACAGTTATCTAGTGTTTCCTGGTTCTTGATGATTGTCTAATTTAGGTTGGTTTATGATCTCAATAATATGGCTTCTACTTTCATAATACATTCGGTTAGATATAAAACTCTACCTTAAATATACAAGACACTAGTCCGTTGTTAACTGATGTATATCAGAACCACTTACTGTTTAAATAAGCATAAATCTATTATAAAATAATACACTAAGAAGAAAAGGAAATAATCACTGCAGAGAGAGATCCTAAACTTACCAAATTAGTCTTTTCATATTATCCATAACTGATTATGTGTTTCCTACTTTCCTTTCTTAGTATCGATGGAAACGTGAAAGTTGAAATGAAGCGATTAACAATTAAGATTATGATGATTGACTTTACATTTTGGCAACGCCGAATTCAAAAAAGAAAACTAGACTACTTCCAGTGTTAATTATCTGTTATTAAGCTGAAGTTGAAAAGTTTATCAGGTTTCTGAATAAACGGAGGTTCTCTGGTTAGATCGTTACCAATATTAGTTCTGTGTCAGTACAAGTGATTTCTTTTGGGAAGCTATTTATTTATTTACTTATTTGAACACATAGATATTGGTACAAGGAGGTACTAAATAGATATGCGCCATACAAAACTCATTTGATTTGTGTGGGGGCTGTAATACTGTCCGGGTGCTCACACCGAAACAGGTGGTTTTATTAGGGGGCCACACCCGGAGCCTTGGACATAAATGTCTGATCCACAAAGCAGTGGAGTATCGTAAGGAGATGCAGTCTCATAGTTGCCTGTGACCAACGATTGGTTCATACGCCATTTGTTCCGTCAGGATACTGGGCCCGATGTGCATCATTGGTTTGGAATGAGGGTTTTCCAACTCCTCTAGGTAGACTCTCTGTGTCCACCAACCCGGTTAAAATGTCGGACATTCGCTTTTCATCCTCTCAATTTCGTAAACAACACCCTCGCCACGAGAAGGCAGTGAGTAGGACTTTCCTGGCAGAGGCTATATACTCGTGGCCATTTGAGAGCATTTGGAGAGGGAGAGCGGACTCTCCCCACTCTCGGCCATACCAGGGCATTTGGGGAACTGAATATATTACGGTAGCTTTCTCAGTGATGTGAATGAACAAACGGAGGGTTTTGGTGTTTAAACTGTTATATGTACCATCTATGGCTAATAAATAACGTGTATCCTAATAACAAAACTTGTTTTATGATTCATTCAAGTTACACTTTTGACATTTTAGTATCTATACCAATAACAACTCCATGATTGTTGAGTTTATTTTTTGCGATAAAATGTATACAACAATCACAAATCCTGAGTTGTGAAATCACTTCAACAAAGGTCAACTAGAACTTGTATTATTTCACATTTATATCAACCCTGTTCAAAATATTCATTTTAAAGTGACCTACAAAATCTCATACTTTCAAATCATGTAAATTTATGGTTTTTTACTATTATCAAGTAAATTTGTATTGAAATGATCATATCTATAACCTGACCTGAATTTTGGTACTGAATTTTACAATCTATTTTGTAATTATCTATAGTGTTACTATTAAATTTGACCGAAGAATAACCATTAAAAGTAGTATTTAGCAAGAAAGATACGTATAGAGAGGATGAATCAGTGTTATTTAGAAAAAAATGCTCAAAAAGATAATAATTTACTTACGCCTGTTACCCCCCCCCCCTTATGGAGGAGCATAGGCCACCCACCAGCATTCTCCGTCCTGGACAATCCTATCCAATTGTTTCCAGTTGCTATTCATCATTTTCATGTCTACTTCATTTCTCGCCGCAGTATGTTCCTTGGCCTTCCTCTTTTCTGTTTCCCGTCAGAATCCCAAATTAGTGCTTGCTTAGTGATGCCGTGTGATGATTTGCGTAATGTATGTCCTATGCACTTCCAGTGTCTTTTTCTAATTTTCTTTTCAACTGGAAGCTGGTTTGTTCTCTCACAAAGCAGACCGTTGTCTATGGTATCCAACCGACGGACATTCAATATCAATTGTTTATAAAAACTTGTACATTTTTGGTGATGGTTGTGGTAGATCGTCACGTTTCAGCTTCATACAGTGGAACTGTCTTGACGTTCGTATTGAAGATTGTAACTTTGGTATTGGTCGATAGTCGTTTTGAGTTCCATATGTTCTTCAACTGTAAGAAAGCCGTCCTTGCTTTGTCAATCCTCGCCTTTACGTCTGCATGAGATTCTCCCTGTTCATCGATGATGCTGTTCCGGTACGTGAAAGACTCCACCTCTCAAAGAGTTTCGCCATCAAGTATGATTGCGTTGGTGTTCTCCCTGTTGTAGTTGAGGATCTTGCTTTTTCTTTTGTGTATGTTGAGGCCTACTGATGCAAAGGCTGCTGCTACACTGACAATCTTGACCTACATTTGATGTGTATAGAATAGAAGTGCCAGGTCATCTGAAAAGTCCAAATCGTCTAGTTGCATCTAACCTGTCCATCGTATTCCGTGCTTCCCGTTAGATGAGTAGGCCTTCATAATCCAGTCAACCACCAGAAGAAAGGGAAAGGGGGGAGTAAGCAACATTGTCTGACTCCGGTCCTCACTTGGAATGTATCTGTTAGCTGTCCTCCGTGCATGAATTTGCATTGTAGTCCATCGTATGAATTCCGGATGATATTGACGATCTTCTAAGTTGTCCAGCGCTTCTTTAGCTTTAGTTTTATCTCGGCCAAAACAAGATGGTGATCTGAAGCTATGTCAGCTCCTCTCCTAGTTCTCACGTCTTCCATTAACCTTAAGAATTCTTTAACTGATGAAAATATGATTTATCTCGTTCCCTGTGGTGTGGTCCGGTAAGATCCATGTAGCTTTGAGTAGGCATATTGTGCCGCCTATAACCAATTTGTTGAATGCACATAGATTTGCAAAGCTCTCGCCATTCTCCTTCCTTTCTCCTAGTTCATGTAGTCCCATAATGTCTTCATAACCGTTGTTGTCCATCCCGACTTTGGCGTTTAGATCTCCTACCAGGATAGTAAGGTCATTTACTGGGCACTTGTTTATGATTGATTACAACCTCTCGTAGAACTGATCTTTATCGTCGTCATTGCTATCATTGGTGAGTGCATAACACTGGATCACATTCGTTGTAATTCCCTACTTTGTTTTGAATGATTTTTTGATAATCCTGGATTCATGAGGTTCCCATCCTATAAATGCATTACGTGCTGCTTTGGACAGCATCAGAGCAACCCCTTGAGTGTGCGGAACATTTTCCTCTTCGTGACCAGAGTACGGCAGCATCTCTCCCATATCTAGTCTTTGTTGTCCAGCTTGGGTCCAGTGGGTTTCCCTGATTACGAGAACCGCCAAGTTGTATCTCCTCAATTTTGTTGCTATTTGACTGGTCTTCCCGGTCTCTCACATTGACCGAATATTTCATGTACCCATGTTAATTGTTGCTCTGATTGTTAGAAGCGACATCAGT